CGTCTTTCTTCGGCGAGCTTTTCAACCAGAACCCCGAGGTGTTCTTCCTCTACGAGCCAGTGTGGCACGTGTGGCAAAAACTGTACCCAGGGGACGCCGTTTCTCTGCAAGGGGCGGCGCGGGACATGCTGAGCGCTCTCTACCGCTGCGACCTCTCGGTCTTCCAGCTGTACAGCCCCGCTGGCAGCGGGGGTCGAAACCTCACCACACTGGGCATTTTTGGAGCTGCCACCAACAAGGTGGTGTGCTCGTCGCCACTTTGCCCCGCCTATCGCAAGGAGGTCGTGGGACTGGTGGACGATCGCGTGTGCAAGAAGTGCCCGCCGCAGCGCCTGGCGCGCTTCGAGGAGGAATGCCGCAAGTACCGTACGCTGGTCATCAAGGGCGTGCGTGTCTTCGACGTGGCCGTGTTGGCGCCACTGCTGCGCGACCCGGCCCTAGACCTCAAGGTCATCCACCTGGTGCGCGATCCCCGTGCTGTGGCCAGCTCACGCATCCGCTCGCGCCATGGTCTCATCCGTGAAAGCCTGCAGGTGGTGCGCAGCCGGGACCCGCGAGCCCACCGCATGCCCTTCCTGGAGGCCGCTGGCCACAAGTTGGGTCCCAAGAAGGAAGGCATGGGAGGGCCAGCAGACTACCATGCCCTTGGCGCCATGGAGGTCATCTGCAACAGCATGGCCAAGACGCTGCAGACGGCCCTGCAGCCCCCTGACTGGCTGCAAGGTCACTACCTGGTGGTGCGATATGAGGACCTGGTGGGAGACCCCGTCAAGACCCTACGGAGGGTGTACGACTTCGTGGGGCTGCTGGTGAGCCCCGAAATGGAGCAGTTTGCCCTCAACATGACCAGTGGCTCGGGCTCCTCTTCCAAGCCTTTTGTGGTGTCTGCACGCAACGCCACGCAGGCCGCCAACGCCTGGCGGACTGCCCTCACCTTTCAGCAGATCAAACAGGTGGAGGAGTTTTGCTACCAGCCCATGGCCGTGCTGGGCTACGAGCGGGTCAATAGCCCCGAGGAGGTCAAAGACCTCAGCAAGACCCTGCTCCGGAAACCCCGACTCTGAGAGGGGTTCCAGGGAGACCTGATTCCCTGTGGAGACACCCTCAGGAGGATTGTGGTGTGTTTCAACAAAAACAGCCCAGATCCAAACTGAGGAAGCCCACATATTCTATTATAGATACGTAATATAAATAACCACACAGGCACTTGCTGTCAATGTTTTGAGTCATTGAGTTTCAAGGAACAGCCACAGTACACACACATCTCAGAAAAGGCAAGACTTGAAAGTTCAGACCAGCCTCCCCTCCTCTTCTCTCCCCTGCCTTTTCTCCTTTCCCTTTGCTCCTCTTTCTTACCCTCTCCTCTACCTTCCATTTTAAAGTGGGATGTTGATTAAATCAAGATCCAGTAACTCTGATCTTGTTTACAAAATGTTCGTCTATCTGTGAACATGTGAAAGAGTCATTTGGATGTGGGGGTTGGGGTGGAGAAAGGGGAAGTGGTCCAGGAGCAAAATGCCCCATTGGGCAAACTAAACCAAGGAGGCATTTTTCTAAAGTAGACTTGTGTAAAAAACAAAGGTTATATGTGAGTATTAATAAAGAAGGTAATAAATAATATTCCTTTTTTTTTATATTTGCCTCCGTTACTTTGGATTTACCTGTGTTACTTGTCCTGTGCAGCTTCAGACAGAATCTGCTTCCCCTCCCGCCACCCCTTCTGCCCGTTTGTTTCCTAGAAAACAGCCACGATGGGTGGGAACAGCTTCTGATTCCTTGATAAGAACCTTGGAGTTGTTTTCTCACATGTAAATCACAGCCTGTCAGGTGCCCAGGAATGGGAACAAATCTTCAAATTCTAAAGGCAAAAACCAAGCAGGGCAGCGAGGAAAAAGCACAGGGCTACTTTCCTCTTCCACTTGGAGCACAGAAAGGAAGAAGCAACCTCTTAGGATTTGAAGGCACTCAGTTTTGATTACTATTGAAATGGGGAAACCTTGAAGCAGAGACCGATGTTTTGGTCCTGCGTTTAGTTCAGAAAAAGGATTTTTTTTTAAGTATGTGATTAAAAAAACTTCTGATGATGAGAACACAAACCTCAAAAATTAGTGTGAACATTGTGTTGGCAACAGTAGCAACTTCTTTGATTAGGAAAGTGACAGAAAATGTATGCGTTTGGAGTGTGTTTCAGCTTCTGGCACAGTCCGTGGAGGCACATGAAAAGGGAAGTTTGATCTGAGGACTGTAAGGGCACCTACAAGCTTTTCCCCTTTTCTTGGCTTCCCATCCAAATTAGTGCAAAAGAGAAATGTGAATTTTTATTTATTTATTTATTTTTTATTGACGTATAGTCAGTTACAATGTGTCAATTTCTGGTGTACAGCATAATATGCCAGCCATGCACATGTATACATATATTTGTTTTCATATTCTTTTTCAGAGAATGTGAATTCATACTGGTTTACCTGGAATGTCCGGGGGGCCCATTGCCTTTCCTTATAATGTTTCCTAAAAGTAAATTTGCAAAGAAGTTACAATATGTTGCTGACAGTATAAGGCTTCAACCAAGAGCTCCTTTTAGATATGAAAAATAAGATACGGGAAAGAGGAAACAAAAATGAATTATGAATTAGTATGTTGGATTTTTGAGATTTGTTAATTTCCAGGGGAAAAACCATTGCAATTTTCCTGCAGTGGTACTGGTGTTGCTGCTGTCCTGAGCCCATTTGTACTGAAGCATTCTGCAGAATGTTGTATTGTGATAAGCAGTTATGAAGCCTAAATAGGAACAAGAGAGTATAGTTATATATTACATTAAATACAGTACAAGTTCAAGCTCATTATGACTTTATTTTACAATAATTGATTCTGAGATCTGTGCAAGCCAATCTATTGGTTAAATGCTGAAGATTTTATTTCAAGGAAAATACGATGAAAAATAATATGTACATGGGAAATATTTTAACACAAGATGAATCTTAAGTATAATTTTCATTATGGTGTGCAATTAACTACACTCAATTTCTGAGATAAAGAAGCACAGAGGTTAGAAAAAGGATGTATTTAGCAGTGGATTTTATAGCACATTCTAGAATGGTTATTTCTTGATTTACCAGAATAGTTTATAGTGTTGTGTTTATTAAGCCAGATTACAGCTTAGTAACCAGATTGATCATGGTTTCTATGATATTTTCATGGTAGCGTCTATACTGAATCATCTTCAGCAGCAGTGGAATATCTGTAATAGCTTTAATTTAAGAATACTTCAACATTAAATGAACAAAATAAATATTAATGTTCAATGACTATAGATGAAACAGGTTTAGCAGGAAATGAAGACAGCATCATTAAAAAGCAAGCACTCTGAATAAAAGAACCATTTAAAAACAAATTTCATGTGGCATTAGAATCAACTCTTTTCACTTAATCACAGTAAAATTCGTGCTGAGTTTTTTGGAGTGACGGATTTTTAAGCAGTTGAATTAATTCATTTTTCTCTCAGTATATCCAAGGACTTTGCGTGACAGTGGAATTTAGCTCTTGTATGTTAAATGTTTTTGGCTCTTGTATATTAAAAAAATGTGAGATGCCACGTAGAGGCTTTGCAGCCGGCAGCACGTTTGTGGTCTCTGCTCAGATGAAATTTTAAGCAAAACATCAACAGTTCTCCCCTTGCTGTGTCTGAATGGGATTTCTGCCTGTAATTCCCTTGTTTTGAAGCAGCTGCCTTCTCTCCCCCCACCACTCCCAGGCTCTGTAATTTGACAGGGTGAATTGTTGCTCCGGAGATTTGTACCAAGCTGCATTCTAGGAAAGGGAGACAGGTGTAGTTCCCACTAACGGCCAAGATAGTCATATCAATGACATTCAGCTTCTCGGGTTTGAGAAGGAAAGAAGCAGTTTTTGGCGTTAATAAGCTTCTGTCAGCCCCCGGTACAGGCAGACTGGGGCCACAGCAAATTGCTACAGCGCCTGTGACAATTTCTGAGACAGCAAATGTGAAAGAGATCCTTTCACGGTTCCCGACTGGGCAATATGTCCACTGGCAGGAGGAAATACTCTTCAGGGCGGGTTATCAGAGTGATTTTTATTTTCCGATTCTGCTCCACTGATAGCATGCCTGACTTACCCCTTTGACTTTGGAATGCCTGTGTTAATTAGAAAGCTCTATTTATAAAATGAAGTCTAGCCAGTGCATTTAGCCAACAAATATGAGTTTGAAGCAAGGCAGCGACCCGGGCTGGGTGCTTGAGTTTCAGGGAGCTCCGAGGTACTCAAAGGCCTCATTCAGGCTGACCCGTGGGTACCTGGCAGGTGGGGACCGGGGCAAATCCTATACCCTTCAGTGTCTACCACGCCCTGAGTACTTGATAAATATTCATTAAGTGAACGAAATAGGTAACTATCCAACCTGAAAGTGGTCGGAAGGGTAAGAGTGGGAGAACAGGTTACCTGTTGGGAGAAAGTTCCAGGCTATTCATTAAGTTTGCTGAAGAGAATGGGTGAGAGGAAGATCTTCAAGGTTTCCAAGGGGTCTATGTCTAGGCCCACTGATGAGTTAGCATTTCTGAATGTGGGGAGGTAAAAGTTTCCAGGTGAGGAATTCAAGTTTTATTATTTATTTTTCCCATTGCACAAACAAGAGAAAGGTCAGGGATCGGAACATACCTGCAGACCGAATGCTGCCCTGGTGCTAAAGGGAGAACTGTGACGTTCATGATGGCAGAAGCCTGTGATATTTATTTATTGTCTGAAGCGCTGTGCCTGTGAGGTTGGGAGGACTGTGCAGTGGGTTTCACCCAGGCACAGACTGGCCCCTCGCAGGAAGTGAGTCCTGCTGTGGATGCTGAGCGAGACAAGGGCTGCCTGTTCCCCTGCGTCTCCTGCCTGGTCTTGGCCAGTTGTGTCCAGATTTCTGTTGCACACAGGATAGTTGTGGCTGGATTATGCTGTCCATCTGAAATTAACATCAATCTGAGCGAGGCCATTAAATTAATATTACCTTGGTCTGAGCAATGAAATAAAGATTTCAGAAAAACCAAGAGGGAAGTAAAAAGGTGTGTCTTATCTGTAGTTGTGAATAAGGATGACGTGTCACTTTACCTCCCTCCCCACTCTTCTTCCTTCTCTATGCACAGCTCCCACGCCCCTCCCTGTAAGTGAGTTTCTGCACTGTCTTGATGTCTAGAAGAGAGATTTTTTTTTTTTTTGCCAGCTAACAGTCTGTGGGGAGGGACACTTTTTGATCTCAGGCCTCTGAGAGCACATGAATGATTATTCTGTCAGAACTGGTGACAGTAAGGATCCAGTGTGGGCAGGTAGAAAATGACAGTTGCAATTGGAGGAATGGCTTCAGGTGTGTGATGGGATGTCCTGAGGTCAATGCACAGTTTACGGACTCCTCAAAAGAAGTCCTCACTCTCCTTGAGGAGGGCCCTTTCTGACCTGTCACGGCTAAGCACACCATTGGTTTCTGTACCTTTCCTTCTTTCTGGCTGCCCAGCTGCAACTTTCGCAGTTCAAGTACGAGCCACTGAGCTGCTTGGGTACAGGCTCTGGTACAAGTGTTTAACAATTGAAATGACAGGGCTTGACTTTTATTACATCTGATGCAATTCTGCATACCCTTAACCAAATTATGCTAAGGAAATCGTTAAATTCTGAATAACACATTAAGTTATAAAATGGGAAACTTTATGAACCAGAGTTTGGGGGGTGGTATTGTTTATAAACTTGAAGGAGGCTTGAAGGAACAAGAGCCTGCCTGCCTACCGGGCAGGATGACAGGGGCTGGCCGGGGCCAAAGCTTAGCTTGTGGCCCAATCAGTTATTTGTAATGAGACATCAAAAGAGTTTTGGGACTGTCTGAACTTTCAGGTTTTTGACAGTCATCCTGCCAAGTAAATGACGTGAAAATGATCACCGTAACCAAAGGCTATACTCGGAACCATTCAGTAATGGCTCCCATCCTGAGTGTATAGCCAGGGGTTGATAGCAATTCACCTTGAAGCAGTTAGTCCTCTAGACAGGACCAGCTGCAGAGTTTGTGGGTCTCAGTGCAAACTGAAAATGCAGGGCTTCATGTTAAAAAACAAATTATTAAGCATTTCGATTCTGCAGCAGCAGAGAATTAAACCAAGCCTGGGCCCTTCTGAATGTGGGGCCCACAAACTGCACAGTTCCTGGAAAGTGGCTGCAGGGGATTGTGCATAATGCGAATTAAAACTCAGACATCCTAGTAAGACAAGTGCACTCTGCCTGACGATGTTCTAAGGAGGTGGTGCACACACGACAGATAATCCTTGGTGACTGCAGCAAGCGATTGACATGCTCTCTGAGTCATCAGTTGGGCTGGAGACCCCTGGGGACCAATCCTGTTCAGGACCAGGACAGCCTGTGCTGTCAGGGGATCCTTCTCACGAAGACAGACGTCTTCCGTGAGGATGGAGAGCTTGACCTCCTTGTCCTCAACTGGGGATGTTGGCAAGTTCTGCTGATGCCAATGTTCCCTTCCTTCTGAAGCTACCGTGGGACTCTCTCCATTTGCTGCGTGTGTAACAGAGGGGACGTCTATGTCTAGAAAAGCAGAAGGTCAAGTCACAGTAAACTCAAGGAGTCAGGATGTTGGATGCGCTCAACCAACTGTTCTGCCTCCTCGTTGTGCTGAGTCTGGTCCACTGCGTGTACTTCCTTATGGGTGTGGTGTGTCTCGCTCTCCTCTGGGTGAAGTTCTCCACACTCTCTACCCCTCTCCTGCCTCCCATGTCCTCTCGGCTTTGTGAATTCCTGCTCATTGCTGAAGATCCTGACTCTCTTTGAAGCTTTTATGTGTCAGCCTTGCTCCAAGATTTTGTCCCCGGTCCCTCTCACCACCTGATGTGTCGATCTGTTGCTGTGTCTCCCTGTAGACTGGGATGCTTGGTTTCTAGTCCATGTCCTTTCCTAGTCGTGGTCCTTCAGGAGGGAAGAGACTGGATCCTGCTTGTGTGTGTGTGTCTCCCCAACACTGAAACAGCGCTTTGCTAGTAGGTCCTTAGACGGTGAGTGCCGAGTAAAAGAAGGTGCCCAAGAAGCCTGAGCAGAAGGGACTGAGGGACTGACACTGTCACAGAGGCTTTAGGGTCACTAGGTGACGTTCCACCATGGCCTGAGTTTCATATGTGTGGCAGGCAGAAGCTGAAATAGCGAGACAAATTAATATGGGCAAAAGAAATGCCACATAAGGCTTGTGGAAGGCCTCAAATGGGGACTTTCCATATTAATGTTTGAAACAGAGAAACAATAAATTGAAGCCCCCAAAAGAACGGTAAGAACTGAATTAAACAGAAATGATACAGTTTTTTTGTTGTTGTAGCCATGCACCAAATGTATATATTTACACATTTAAAAATTTTTATATAATTTTACAGGTTACTTTCTATTTACAGTTATTACAAAATATTGGCTATATTTCCTGTATCATACAATACATCCGTGACCCTGTCTTACACCCAATAGCTTGTGCCTCCCTCTCCCCGACCCCTATATTGCACCCTCCCACCACTGGTAACCACTAGTTTGTTCTCAGTACCTGTGAGTCTGCTTCTTTTATGTTATATTCACTAGTTTGTTGTATTTTTTAGACTCCACATATAAGTGATACCATGCAGTATTTGTCTTTCTCTGTCTGGCTTACTTCACTTAGCATAATGCCCTCCAAGTCCATTCATGTTGCTGCAAGTGGCAAAATTTCATTCTTTTTATGGCTGAGTAGTATTCCATTGTGTGTGTGTGTGTGTGTGTGTGTATATAGCTACTTTTTTCCACTATTTTTTTCCCAGGGTTTTATTTTTTATTTTATTTAATTTTTTAAAATTGAAGTATAGTTGATTTACAATGTTGTATTAATTTCTGGTGTACAGCATAGTGATTCAGTTATACACATACATATATTCCTTTTCATATTCAGTTTCGTTATAGGCTATTCAAGATACTGAATTCAGTTCCCTGTGCTACACAGTAGGACCTGGTTGTTTATCCAGTTCTTCTTTATCCATTTGTCTATTGATGGACATTTAAGTTGCTTCCATATCTTGGCAGCTGTAAAAAATGCTGCTAAGAACATTAGGGTGAATGTAGAAATGATACAGGTTTTTAAGGGCCCACTAGGAAAACGTATTACTGTCCTGCAGGCTGAACCTGTGTAATTGTCTTGATACCGTCAGTATGATCATCTTTTAACCTTTACAGGGACTGGAAAATTTTCAAGGAACAATGTGGAGTTCTGAATATTACATTTCTGTTTGCAGATGTCCCAGTTACTCTGGCAAACTCTTATTCTCTCTAGGACTGAATTAGGTCCTGGGAGGAATGAAAATATTTGATGTTCTCATATTGGTGCTCAGTATCTTT